ATTATGATTCTTAATTAAGGAAAATTTCCTAATATGATGTGATTTGATGCGATAGAGTGGCGCAACATGAGAGATAGTGAACTTCACTATCTATCCCAATGATTTGTCTATTTTTATATTCCCTTATACGGATTAACAAAGTACAAAACGACACAGTATCATACTAGGCGTGCAATACGACAAATATACCATATTTATTTATAATTAAATAACTACACGTATTTCAACTCACATCTTTTGATTAAAAACACAGATCAAAACATCCAACTCCTACAATTTTAAATCACAACACCAACCACCAACCACCAATGATAAACTGAAGCCACTGATGAGTGTCTTAAGCCATCCCTTTCTTTCAATTTTCAATATACGCTAATTAATTTATAGCGTCCAAGCCATCCTTTTCTTGCATTATATTATATATTTGATTTTGGCAATATCAATATGGATGTTTGTGCAAATTTCCTCGCAGATGGATCTCTGCTAGATTCCTTGTAAGATAAATGACAGTCAATGAAGAACTACCGATGTGATGGTGGCTAAGGACCCTCCGATGTCTAAATCAGTAATATAATTTTGAAAGATATAATAGATAATATTGAAAGAATAGAGAAATGTGACTTGAAAGCCAAGTAGATAATAAAGGTGGCAACAGCCTGAGTTAGGCAACCACGAGAATTTCGGCTAGAGAGAGAGTAATTTTATTACCTTCCTTCTTTCCTCCTCAAATAGCCTTCCTTCTTTGTAACTTCTTCTTTGAGTTGAGGAAAGTTATGGAAGGAAATAAATGAGTTAAGAGAATTTTATTCCCTCAACCTAAATTAGTAACTCTCGTATTAAATATAAATTCGATGCTCAATCATATTATTTAAATTAATAGTTTGTATGGACCATTACAAAGAATCCACTAGTGTAATAATTTAGACTAATTGCTTCCCCGACAAAGTCCTAAGCTAGTGATTTGGACTAGTGATTTAGACTAAATGCTCCTTGATAAGGTCCTAAGTTTGAATCCTAGCATCCGTATTCGTGTTGTGTGTGAATTTAATGTAATATCACCCCTCTCAATAGAAAAAAATCCTAAATAAATTAGGGTTGCCGGATCAAGGTCGGTATATCATCAGCTAGTCTGGTCGACTCATAGATACTTGGGTTAAGTTGGGCTTAGACGATAAGCTTACTTTGTGGCCCAAATGAACTAAAAAACACAAAATACTATGTCCTTTCACTACACACTAGTGATGACGAGTCATGGTTCATGTAAGATGTTATGCATCATCAGAGGGCAGAGCCAATTTATGTAGCTTCAAAAACAAAAACCAAAATAAAAAAACATACCCAAAATACGACACAAAAAACAAAAGTACGACACCACCATTACAAGGTCAGCTCCACACTACACACGGTGGATGCGATCACATTTTACCCGGGCTCTCCACCCTCACTTTTCCATTGTCATCAATGCGCACCTCCACGCGCGCTTTTCCTTCTTCATCCAAACGACCCACGTCGTTGAAATTTTGACCATGCATCTGGTCAGACGAATAGAGCTTACCCGCCACCTCACCCGCCCTGGTCCTCGCCGCATCAACCTCCTCCCTCTCCACAACATCGGTTGGCTGAGTTAACTTGCTTTTAATGGCACCGGTCACGCCGCCAAATGAGCTCAATATATTTCCCTTGGCTGCCTTCCCTTTCTCAGCCTCAATGTCACGTGCCTCACGTGATCTACCACCAACTTCGTCCTTGTACTCTTTCCCTTCCACCTTCAACTCCTCCATCTTTCTCCTTGCTTCCTCCTCAGTGTTGCTCAACTTCTCCTGCATATATTTAACAGAACTCGACCAATCAGAATTTGATAAAACAACAAACCAAAAGTCACACTAAATTTTTACATATATATTTACACATTCTGAGCTAAAATATTTTTGTTGATATGGAAATGAAAGAAAATGCAACACATTTTTCAAATATATATGAATACTAGAATGAACGATTATTCTTTATTACCTTGGTTTTCTCTGTAGTCTCGTAAGTTTTCTCTTTTGTTTTCTCAGCAGTGTCGGCAGCCTTCTCTTTTGTTTGCTCAGCAGTGTCGGCAACCTTCTGCTTGGTCTCCTCTTTCTTACCAGACAAGTAGTCCATGGCTTTTCGAGCAGCGTCGGCAGCCGTGTCCTTGAGCTCGCTCAACTTGCTCACAGTCGTGTCCTTCCCTTCTTTTGCCTTCTTAGCAGTATCGTCCTTGGTCTCCTTAGCCTTTTCGGCTGTTGTGTCTTTGGCCTCCTTGGCCTTCTCCGCAGCATAATTTGTATATTCGCTTGCTTTCCCAATAGTTGTGTCTTTACCATCCTTTGATTTCTGCATTGTTGCGTCTTTTGCCTCCTTTGCTTTCTCTGCGGCATAGTTTGTATACTCGCCAGTTTTCCCCATTGCCGAGTCTTTCGTCTCCTTCGCTTTCTCAGCAGCCTCCTTAGCCTTTTCAGCAGCGTAATCCTTTGTCTCTTTTACCTTGTCCGCAGCATAACTTGTATACTCACTTGCTTTCCTCTCTGTTGTGTCCTTTGTCTCCTTGGCCTCTTGAGCTGCTGCGTCCTTAGTCTCCTTGGCCTTCTGTGCTGCATAGCCAGTATACTCACTTGTTTTCCCCATTGTTGTGTCCTCCGCCTCCTTGGCTTTTTGAGTTGCCGTGTCCCTCGCCTGTTTCGCCTTCTCAGCCGTGGTGCCCGTGTACTCATTTATCTTCTCCCCCGCAGCGCCCGTGGTCTCTTTGGCCTTCTCTTCAACATGACTTTCATCGTGGCTTTTCCCCATCACAGCATCCTTCGCTTGCTCTAGCTTCCCGGTCACCGTCTTCAGCACCGACCCGATCACCCCAGGCTTCTCTTCATGGACTTGCTCTGCTGGCCTCCCCAGCTCATCAGTAGGCGTATAAGTAGTCTCTGTTTTTTCTTCATAGACTCGGCCTTTGTTCACGTCTCTCAACTCATCCGCTGCGGGCCTTGCTGCGGCCTCGGCTCTCTCCTCCTTGGCTTGCCTCGACGCCATTGAAACACTCCAAATTGCACTCACAAATTTTATCAAACACTCTGTATGCTTACTGTCGAGTCTTCGATTTTTTTTTTCTTTTGGTACAGGAGAAGGTGAGAGGTGGCCTAGTAGTATATATAATCGGTGGAGTTTTGAGAAGGTGACACGTGGAGCCGGAGCACGGTGTAAATTGCTATGTAGTATCGTGGGACGAGACTGCGACACGTCGACATGCATGCAAAGGGATGAGTGGCAGTGTGGGACCTGAGAACTTTCCGGGCTCATGTCGGTGGGTTTAGCAAGGGCTAGGTCCTTGGTCTTTTGATGTGGTTCGTTCCACGCGTCCTGCTAAGTGGTGAATTGGGCTTGCTTTGGGTTCTTTGATTGGTATCCTCGACTGGATAAGTTTTTTGTTTTTGTTTTTTTGTTTTTTTTAGCATATTTCCGATTAAAATTGACGATAATATACTAAACTCACACACACTACACAATTATTAGGACTCGAATCGAACCAAGCCACTACAATAATGGGTCTTTGCTCGGGTGGATAAGTTTTGGCTAAGAAAAATGTAGAGTTCTAATTGAACTTCCATTTGGTCTATAAATCAGGACAAAAATAATACAGCGTCGACTTGGAATGTAGATAAAACCCAGTCTAATTAGATTGCCCAATAAAGCCCAATCCAACAATCACTATTAATTCTACTTTTTTTTCTTTCTTTTTTGATCAATTGGTCTATTAGTTCAACTTAATCACCTATTATTTGGCTCTTTTTAATAAATTTATTAATTCCTAATTCTGGATACCGTGCACTGGACGGATGGGCCTTGTGGCCTTGGGGCTTTACATAAATCAAGAATTCTATAGTGAGCATGATTCTTAGGTGAAGTTCTGTTTCTTAATTGTTAGATTAAATTGATTAGCCGTTGGATCAAATTAATTAGTCTAATCCAACGATCAAGAGATATGACCTCACCTAAGGGCTATATATAAGGCCCTTACTATACATAAATACAAGTAATTGTTTTAACGGGTACAAGGAGATAGTCAAAAGGTGAAAATGGGAAGTATAAGGAAATGGACATGGCTGGCTAGCATTTCCTCAAAAAACGTATAGTTTGTGGAAAACACTTCAAAATCAGTGGTCAAATATATATCTTGGATATGTGACTCTCAGCTTTAAGTGCATCATGCATGATCAATTCCTTTTAACATGCAGTTGTGATGCTATAAAATGTCACATAGAAACTGTTTATGCAAAATGTTTGTTTATCCATGTTATAAAATTGTCCACAAGTTTCAAAATGAAAATGGGCGTACATGTCTATATTTATATTGAGATATTGGAGAAAATTAAAATATAGAAGTAATAATGAAGAAGTGTATATGTTTGTAGTTTTTAAGTACGATTGTTGTATAATTGAAGATACATCGAAAATAAAGTCAAAGGAGGTAGAGATGGAAGTAAATAATAGAGATTATATAACATGTTATTAGGAGGCAGAGATGGAAGTAAATAATATAGATTAGATAACATATTATTTTCTTATAATGTGAATTTAGGACCCAACATAATTCTAACAAATTCTCTAACAAAATGTCACTCCCAGCACATTGTGTCAAGGCCTACTTTAATGGAAGTCCAGGAAAGTGTGCACCACAAATTCACAGAAGCCAACAGTTCTTACACAATATCACCTATGGTTGGATTGAAATTTCTTCTTTTTCCCTGTCTTGGTAAGGGTCAAGCTACCATCAAATATGCTCGATTAGGAATTCTTATGAAAAATGGGTTGTCCAAAAACAATATTGGTTTATCGACTCTTTGCACTTACATTATTGTAATTTGTTCTTTTTCGGTACTTCTGTTGGGACTTTATAAAAATCAAAACACACAAAGAAAAAAAAAACCCTACAGAATGTAATTTATTTTCTCACTTGTTACAAATTGAAAATCCCAGAAAAAGAAAAGAATTTCATCCCCTATAGACAGGCATACATCACAAAACCTCAACCAATTACTTAAAAGGTCTTATTGATCATCATGCACTCTGACATTCAATCTTCTGAGCCATATAGAATGGAGGATCATATGGAACACATCAAATCGCTTGGGAGGAGAATTGACTTCGAAATGCCTCCTTACTTGTACCACTCTCCTCTGCATTCTTATGTACTGCCTTGTAGAAATGCTCGTAAGTATGTTCTTCAAATTGGGAATTTCACTCACTTTAACCTCCACAGAGAAAGACTTCCAATTCAAAACATCACTGAATGGTGGCACATAATGGTCTGAAATCAGCACAGGAACACACCCAGTGTAAATTGCCTCCACTACCCTTGGGCTTGCAACTTCATATCCACTTGGGCAGAGGCAGAACTTGCTCTGTCTCATCATGTCATAGTAAGAAATACCCTTTGGAAGGTACTGATGCACCCGTAAATCCTCGTCCTTGTTCTCCCAATGCTCTAGCAGCACCGGCCTAATAGGGCCATGAACCCCTCCGGCAAAGAAAGCTAGGATTGAGCGTAGCCTTGGAGAAGGCCCGCCAAGAAACCCATGTGTGTCACCCGTTCGAAGATTGATTTCTGGAAAGGATACATCCTTAGAGGGGTTGAACCCTTCTGAGGTGTTCGCATTGCATAAAACACGAATGGAGTTTTTTCGAAGATGAGGATCTGAGTTTGAAGTTTCTGGCCCCTGAAACATAATCCAAGTAATTTAAATCAGAATGTTATATTGGTTTAGCTAGTATTTGTGCTACATTAAAATGTGACAGTAATTAATATTAAGTAGTAAGAGTAACATACCCAATCATGGCAAGCAAGCATAAAGTGATCAGCTCCAAGGCTTCGATTCCAATAGGGATATTTTCCAGAGACAATATTGACATAGTCTCTTACTGTTTGTCTAATGGGACCAAAATCATGTGAGTCACGCACATACACAAAGCGGACCAACATTGTCACGCTGAAGGGAAGAAAATAAACATGTGCTTTCTCAGGGTCACGAGTCCGAAATTGCTTATTCACCTCAATTTCATGGATAAAATTCCCCTCCATCGAATATATGCTCTTGCAAGGGCCATTATGAAACAACGGGGGTTCCCCTTCTCCATAAACAAAAACCTTGAACCGTTTCTCCATCTCCAAGTAGCTCCTGTAATTTCAAAGGGACACTATCAATGAGATAACATGTTTGAAAGCCATCCCTTGGTATACAATTTGTGTCACATCTTTAAGTTGCAAATTTTCCATAACATGTTTGTAACAATGAAAGATTGAAACATCCAATTGGCCTTCTCAATAGTAACCCACAAAATTATTATTTGATAATAATGATAATTAAGACTCAAATATGGAGTAAGTACCTTTGAAAGGCATTGGCATTCCAATACATGGGACCATTGGGAATGTAGTCCACATCTTGTGTTTGATTTCCAAATTTAGCGTCTCTTATGGCAGCTCGAGCTCTTCTAAGGCGGGCCTCCAGCCACACTAAATTTGTATTTTTTCGTTGTCCTTCAGCTTTCATGATAGAAACACCTTCAGCTTTCATGATAGAAGCACTCGTCTCATTCACGTAGTCGTCTCGCCTTGTTCCGTTCTGTTGAACTGATTAATTGTTAGATTTACTATCTCTTAATCAAATATTTAATATCTAATCTGCTCTCATATAAAAATCTATAAGAGAATCAAATTATTGCTTAGACAAAGAGCAACCGCTGGAAGACAAAAGAATGTGACCCCATTAATAAGTTTGGAACATTTACCTGGGACAGTACTTAATTAGTAGAAACTAAGCAATTAATTAGTAGATACAAAAGCACACAGAGTGCCGTAAAGGGACTAAGCAATTAAATCATTCACCAAAACGAGAGGTGATGGGGAAAAGGGACATTCAACTGTGACAGCAAGCAACTTCTACAGAAACCTAAAACATGTCAAAATGCATCCATATATATATATATTTCCTCGATCCTAATAAAAAGTTTAAGAAAAATTAATTTAATTATGCAGTCAATTTGGAAATGCTTTTTTTTTTTTCTTCCCGCAAACGATTTTTTCCTTAGACTTGTAGGTCAAAGAGCAGCCACCCAAAAATTACAGAAAAATCTAAAACGTATGGACCAAGTCGAATTCTTTGTTTTGATTTAATGTATTTTTCTTACCCCATAAAGAAAAAATAAAAATAAATTCTTGAATTATTTTCAATGAAAAAAGCAAAAGCATCAACAAGAATATGGCAAGAACAAACAAGCAAGCAACTCAAAAATGAAGTCCATAGAGGATAGGAAAAGAAATTGTAGATGCATGCGTAGAAGGTGGAGGTCTCTTACGGGTTGTTCAAGTGTTGGCGGTATAGCTTCTTCAATGGAGAGTGGAGGAGAAGAAGATCGATTTTGTAGAGAGTCATCCGAGTGAGCTTCTTCTATGCTGTGCATATCCACCACAACCACCGACGATCTCAACCCCAAAACGTCATCGTTTAGGGGAGGAAACTCTGAAGAAGAATTTGAAGCGCCGGTCAAGTTCAAAGAGGGGCTGGAGCTCTGTGAGCTCCATAGCCAAGGGTAAGAATTAGAGATGAAAACCGAGTTGGAGGTCTCTGGACCCAACAAAGAAACCAACCCAAAAACCACAACCAATGGAACTACAAACAACAAGATGGCCATTGATGAAGATGAAGAAGAACATGCATATTGATTGCCCCATCTTTTGCTGCTATTGGCCATCAAGTTTTGAGCTAGCTAGCTTAAAGGAGAGATTCTTAAACTAGTTTAAGTATAGCATCTGATTCAGAAGCTGGCTTGTTTGTTTGCTGAGAAAGTGGGGAGAGTTTTGGGGTTTTCATTTTCTGGGAGGGAGAAGAAAACATTTGGTAATAAATGGTTGCGTCTTCACGCCAAGCGTCCTCTTATGCTGCCCTCTATTTTCGAGTTCCTCATGCAACTTTTGTGTTTCCCATTTTGACCTTTTCGAATTTTCCATCTAATTTTCTACTACCTCCCACCGATAAGTTTTATTTAATTCCCACCTTTCTCATCTCGCCATTACACTCGCCGTTTACTGCACCCACGCACGAGGGCACATGATGTAAGACTCCCAAGGTTAGTATTTATGAAGCAAGTAATAATAATAATTATAAATAGGAAGAAAATTAAATATCACTAGTCTCTCTGCACGCGTTTGTGAGAGGATTTTTTTATAAAAAAAAAATTATTTTAGAATTAAAAAAGATAATGTGTA